CCCCACAGTATTCTAATATTAAGCAATCGCTCATGTGGAAAAATAGGGTTTATATTGGAATTATTGCTGTTGAAAGCCACTACTGCTACCCAGCTCTAGAATAAGGCTCTCCCTTAGAGAAACTTTTTTAAAAAGTAAGCCGGAAAATCTATGTCCATGAGGGTCACCCCACCTATCACCTGCCTACCTTGGTCTATGTGACAAAATCTTTGGGTAGTTACTTTTTGTACTTTAACCAGTTTTGTTGTTGTTGTTATTACTACTGCTGCTAGTTTACTTGTTTTCTGAAACAGAATGTAGCTCAATCTGGCCTCAAATTCTCTACGTAACTGAGGATGACCTTCACCTCCCAATCCCCCTGCTTCTACCTCTCAAGATGTATTATAGGTTTATGGTGCCATGCTAAGCTTTATCTCAGTTTTTAAATGTAATTAGCAGAAGAGGAAGAGGAAGGCTATAGTGGAGATTATTCCACCTAAGCTAGAAGTGATCCCATACTACACATGAAGAATTTAGTAGCATGGAAGGGAGGGAGGGAGGAAGGATGGGAGAGAGGGAGGAAGGATGGGAGGGAGAAAAGGAGAAAGGGAGGGAGGGAATAATAAATTAATAGCACATAAGTTAATACAGGAAAAAACAATCTACAGAATTACTTACATACAAAAGTAAACCAGGGCTGGAAAGATGGATCAGCAGTTAAGAGCATGGGCTGCTCCTCCAGAGGACCCACCACATTCAGTCCCCAATACCCATGTAGTAGCTAACACCCATCCTTAACTCCAGTTCTAGGGGATTCAACACCCTCATCTGGCCTCCACAGGCATTGCACAATATAGGTACACTTACATACAAGTAGGGAAAACACTCATACACATAAGGGAAAGAGGGGAAAGAGAAAGGAAAAGTAAAAAGGGGGAAGAGGGAGGGAAGGAAAGGGGGAGGGAGATGGGAGGGAGGGAGAAAAGAGAGCAAGAGAAAATGATGCCTGAGGAAGAACACCCAAGGATATTCTCTGACTTCCACACATATGTGCATATGAATACATATACACACACAAAACAAAACAACAACAAAAACCAAAACGAAGAACCATAAAAATCCTTTAGAGGCTGTAGATATAGCTCAGTAGTAGAGTACTAGCCTAGTACATTTAAGATCCCCAGCTCAATCCCTAGCAGGTAGGCCTATATTTCTTGCATCTGAGAGATGGAGGCAGAGTTAACAAGTCTAAGTCCAGCCTGAGCAATATAGCAAGACACTGTGTCAAAAAAATACCACTACCAACAACAACACATACCACCAATTTTCTTGCTAGAGGCAGCAGAAGATAGTGGAGTGAAAGCTATTAAACAGTCATTTCAGTATGCTGACCTCCATAGGGACAGTGCCCAGACTACTGAGAGCTGCACAGGCACTGAGGAAAAAACAAAAATGGGCCAAGGATATACCAAGAAGCCGAGAAGCAAATGTCCTCATATGCACTCTTAGTGCAAACGTGAGGGGAGGAGCACAAGATGCAACAGCTTCAGTCAACTTATTCGGGTTTGCTAAGACGTGCTCAGAGGTGGACGAGCACCTCTGTTGAAGAAAAAGGAAAATTTGACAAGGTTTATTATGGTTAAAGAAATGAAAACCTCTGCCCTCACCACCCAACCCAAAGGGGAAACAAAAAAGGAGCTCAAGGATCTCAACACACCCAGGGAACTTCTTGCCCCCCACACCTCCCAGGAAACAAAGAATAGCTGGGTTTATCCATTTGTAATGTTGCAAAAAAAACCTGGGAGAGACGTGTAACAAAACTGCTTCACATGACAAGCAGGCTTAGGGAAAGAACGCTGCAGAGCTCAAGGAAAAGGCTGCCTACAGAGAAAAGGAAAATCTGATGCAGCAAAAAAAGGAACTGTTGCCAGGTGTGGTGGCACACCTTTAATCCTGTCAGGGAGGCACGGGGATCTCTGTGAGTTCCAGGTCAGCCTGGTCTACATAGTGAGTTTCAGGCCAGCTGGGGCTACGGGGAGACCCTGTCTCAAAAAGATAAGGAAAAAAAAAGAACTGTCAAGGCTGAATAAAGCAACCAAAAATAAAAGAAGATGAAGAGGATATGGAAGAGGAGGAAGCCAGAGGTCAAGATGAGGCTACTGAATAACTTGGTTCTAATGTGGTTTTTTTTTTTTTTTTTTTACTTGTTTTGTCTATAAAGCATTTACCCCTGTATATAACTTGTAAAGAAAAAACCTGAACTGTAAAATGGACTAAGATTTGTTTCTAATCTATATGGTGCTATAGTTAATACACTACCAAATGTATCTTTAGATATAGCCGTATCCTGATCATATTTTTCACTGCCACTAATCTTGCCTGGTATGATATGGAGACTGTAAACTGGCATGGAAATTTAAAGCAGGTTCTTATTGCTACATAGCACAAATTAGTTATCTATAAGGATAGGTGTTGGGGGGCTTTATATTTTGGGTTTTTTTAATCTTCCACTGTCTTTGATGCATCTTATACAAAATAATGGCTGTTCTATTAACTGAATACCACTCCGCAACTGAGAAAAAAATGCAGCTTGTGTTGTTGACATTCTGAATGCTTCTAAGTAAATAAAATTTTTTATTTAAATTGCTACTAAATACTATTCATCTCACTAGGTTTTAAATCTTTAAAGAACAGGATTTCTTTCTGAACTATATTTCAGTTTTCTCAATACATTCCATAATATGATCTATTTGAAATCTCTCTATGGTACTGGTCAATTAATGCTATTTACTTTGTAGCCATCAAAGAGAAAAAGTGCTGCCCTCTACAATTCTAACTAATCCTAGGAACCCAGAAGCCTATGTAAAGCCTCTTCAACTAAACATCGTCTGTCTAAATCCTGTAAATGGCATGAAACATACTGCCTAACTCTAGGACGATACAATAGTTTTAAGGTATGGTAGGGCTGGCAGGAACACTGTTGTATGGTCTACTCAAACTATACCTACAAGATGAGGCCAGAACTCAACAGGTATTAATAAATGAACAAAAATAAATAAATTTCTCACTGGGCATGGCAGTGCATGCCTTTAATCCCAGCACTTGGGAGGCAGAGGCAGGCGGATCTCTGTGACTTCAAGGCCAGCCTGGTCTACATAGTTAGTTCCAGGCCAGTTGGGGCTACAGGGAGACCCTGTCTCAAAAAGATCAAAAGTGAAGTAAATAAAAAATAAATAAATTTCTCAGAAGGAAGGAAGGTCGGTCATCCATGTGTGGTACACACACACCTGAACTCAGCAGAAGGGAGGCAGAGAAAGAAGAGTCCCCAGAAGCTTAGGGAGATAATACTTGAGGGGATTATACAATGAAATTCTATAAAACCATGAAAGTTGTGAATAGAGTGGGGCTCAAATACTCAGATTAAACAAAATTTCAAATCTTCACACTAAAATGTAAACTCAGAAGCCTAAATTTGGAACAGATAAAATGAATGACATTATATAGTGAATGTTAAGGGATACAGAGGTGTAAAGAAAGAGAAAAATCTTAGTGAAAAAGTTTTTCTTTAACATTTGTGTGTATATGTGTGTATGTATGTGCACGCATGTGTTGACAAACACATGCATGTTAGGCAAGAAACTACTTGTAGGAGTCTGTTCTCGTCTTCTACCATGTAGGGGATTGAATTCAGGTTGTCAGACTTGGTGGCAAGTGCCTTTACCCACTAAGCCATCTTACTAGCCAGTGAATAAGTATTGACAGAGTTAAATCCCATCATAGCTAAAAAGCCGTAATAATGGCTTCAACAAAGTCAATGAAATTTGTGGTATGCCTGTAATTACTTCTGCACCAATAAAAATAATAGCATCTGCCGGGCGTGGTGGCACACACCTTTAATCCCAGCACTCAGGAGGCAGAGGCAGGCGGATCTCTGTGAGTTCAAGGCCAGCCTGGTCTACATAGTGAGTTCCAGGACAGCTGGGGCTATAGGGAGACCCTGTCTCAAAAAGACCAAAAATAATAATAATAATAATAATAATAATAAAATAAAATAAAATAATAGCATCTATCTATACAACTTATTCCATTATTGGATGGATCACGGTATTATTTTATATAGCTTTTCTTATACATAGTCGTATCCTTGTGTGTGTGTGTGTGTGTGTGAGAGAGAGAGAGAGAGAGAGAGAGAGAGAGAGAGAGAGAGAGAAGAGAATGAGGGGGGAGTGTTTGGGTGCATGTGCTCATGAGGAAGCCAAATGACAATAGTGTCATCCTCAGGAAGGCTGTCCATTTTCTTTGAGATAAGAGTCTTCTCTTACTGGCCTGGAATTCACCTACTAGGCTAGACTGGCTGGCTAGTGAGCCTCAGGGATCCTCTTGCCCAGCACTGGGATTACAAACACAACCACCACACCAACATTTTATGTGGATTCTGGGGACTGAATCAAGTCCTCATGTTTACTGACTGAACTATCTCTCCAGCCCTATATTCTTATTCTTAATAGGTGTTTTAAAACTTTGGTTAAACCAAACACTTAAAAAGCGGCATTAACTCTACTACTTTACAGAACTGTGGTAGATTAACTAGGTTTTTTTTTAGTTTCTAATGTAATTATTATGTTGCACATTTAAAAAATGCTACATACCACCAGGCATGGCGGCACATGCCTTTAGTCCCAGCACTTGGGAGGCAGAGGCAGGCAGATGATCTCTGTGAGTTTGAGTTTTAATTCTTGACCTGTTTCAAAGACTAAAGACATCAAAGAAGTCCTGCATTTATATTAGTGCTTTTAAAGTATTTTCTAAAATTACTACACTAAAAATGCAATCCAGGTCCAAAAAGAAAAGGAAAATAATCTGACATTATGACTTCATTTTTGCTAGACTGAACAAGACACATCATAGCAAGTTTTCTGTGTTTATCTGTTTACTAAGTTTGCAAGTATCACCACAAAGAGAAATGACTTGGGAATACATCTCCACATAGCAAAAAACAAAGATGTGGTGAGCATACATACTCTTTTTGGAATGCCATGCACAGGGGAGAGCTGAAGCCAAAGACCAGGCACGTCTGGGCGTCGGGGCTGTAGCCGTTGTGGAGAAGCACTTCCAGGCACTCCTCCCGTCCTCCAAACACTGCTGAGTACACAGGGCTCACTTTGTCTGCTCCAGTGTCACTGGCCCGGTTAGTCAGTGGTATTAACAACTCCAGGATCCTAAAAATATACAAATTGGAGGAATATTTAATGCTTTCAGATGTACATGAGTGTAGGTAACATCTCTGCTACACATATTTTAAGAATCACCCATTGATTTAAAGAAGTCTTTCTGTCTTTACCTTCTAACTCCAGTAAATTACTCCATGCTTCATAGTGACTACAAATGCTAAACTTGTTGTTGCTTCTTAAATATCCCTGAAGAATTAAGCAATATAGTAAATAGGTAATATTTTCCTTTTTCACTAATTATTAAATGTCACCATCACCACCTATGTTCCAAAAATGTTATGTCTGATATCTTAGGATCTAATAAACTACTTAAATATTTATTATGCTTACTATAAACTAGATTGCTGGAGCAATGGCTCAGCAGTTAACAGTACTGGCTGCTCTTGAAGAAGACCTGGGTTCGAGTCCCAGCACCTACATGGTAGCTCACAACCATCCATAACTCCAGTTCCAGGGGATCCAACACCTATTTCTGGCCTCCATGGGCAATGCATGACATACATGCACTTATATATACATACATGTAGGCAAAACATACACACATAAAATAAAAATAAATTTAAATAAATAAACAAATTTTTTTTAAAAAAACTTATATCAGGAAAATGAGGGGCTAGGGACGTAGTCCAGAGGTAGTTTGCCTATCATGCAGGAGGCACTGGGTTCAATTCCCAGCACCACAAAATATGTGTACTGACCAGATGTGGTATTATATCCTTGTAAACCCAGCATTTGAAGGCAGAAGCAGGAGGATCATGAGTTCAAGGCTTGGCACATCTACATAGCAAATTCCAGGCACCCAAGGTTACATAGCAAATTTCTGTTTCAAAAAAAGAAATAAAAAAAAAAATGAAGTATTTTTCTTAAAACACCAATTTTTTTTGGAGGCAGGGTCTCCCTGTAGCCCCAGCTGGCCTGAAACTCAGGTTAGTCTCTATCTCAGAGATCTGCCTGCCTCTGCCTCCCAAGTGCTGGGATTAAAGGCATATGCCACCATGCCAGGCCCCAATTACTAAGAATTTTTAAAGATGGTGAGTGACATGAAATAAGAAATTACATTTTTATCAAGAAGAAATTAGATTTATAGTAAAATATATTCTCAGAAAAAATATGTAATCATTAAAATCTGAGGTATATTTACAAAAAAGCTTGTTGCTAAGTAGAGAAAGCTCTAAAGAAAATCACCAAGACATAATTCTTAGGTGATTTTAAAACTTCCTCCAGCAATTAGCTGAAGAAAGGACCAATCCAATCTTCTGAAGACAAAGCTTCAAAGCATTAAGTAGACAGAAAAGCCCCCTCTTTCTAAGGCCACTCCAAAGTGTCTTTATCACACTGTGTCTGTCCTTGCCACTTTTCCTTACATACAACATTAAGGAGAACCTACGTTCACAAAAGAGCCTCATCTTTGAAGCAGGCTACAGAGAAAATCATCAGTGGCAACAGAATTCTCAAAATTGAGCACAATTAAACAAATTCCTAGAGAGTTTTGGTTTCAATTTAAAGCTGGGTATAACTGCATAAAGATTTGTTTAAATAAATAATCAAGAATTGGAGAAAATATCAAATGTCTTATAACTTATTAAATAAGAAACCTACTATATAATAAATATGTCTAACTTTTTAAGGTGGGCTGGAAAAATTTACTCTCACAACCAACATGCTCACAAAGATTTTTAAGAACATAGTGAGGGGCTGGAGAGGCGGTTCAGAGGTTAAGAGCACTGACTGCACTTGTAGAGGACCCAGTTCAAGTCCTAGCACCCACATGGCAGCTAACAACCATCCGCAACTCCAGTTCCAGGGAATCTGATGCCCTATTCTGACCTCCATGTGTCTGCATGACATGGGTGCACTTACACACATGCAGGCAATATACTCACATACATTTTAAAAAAAAATAAAAATAAGGGGCTGGAGAGATGGCTCAGCTGTTAAGAGCACTGACTACTCTTGTTGAGGACCTAGGTTTGATTCCCTACCTACATGACGGCTACATACCGTCCTTAACTCCAGTTCCAGGGGTCTGAAGCCCTCTTCTGACCTCTGCGGCACTGCATGACATGGGTCACAAACATGCAGGCAACACAATCATACACATAAAATAAAAATAACAAAATATTTTTAAAAAAAATTGCTGGTGCAAGGTACATCACTCCTAGTAGATTCAAAGGGGGCGGCAGCCTGTTTAGATTTCTGAGGCAGAGTTACAGACCATGCATAGCACTGCTCGCTCAGGGCTTTTGCTAGCCCTCCTTGTGCCTCTGCAGTTTTAAGTCAACAACTGACTTTTAACTCCACAGAAGAAATCCACAGCTTTAATGAAATATACTATGAAATATTGGGAGTAATACATGATTGTGGATAAATACTGCCTGATGGACAATTGTTATTGGCAGTAGACACTGACAGTATGAATATGGCAACTTTTATTTTCCATGTAAAGACAAAGAGAATGTTTAGTTGTCAATGGGAGCCTCCAGCCTTTAGTCTAACCCCTTCTGTGCCCTTTTGTGCTAAAAATCTCACTTTCCAGAATAGGCCTGGAGTAATTAATTTACTTTGAA